CGTGATTTGGCAGTGGTTAGAGGAAGATATATAGGGCCCAGGTATCTTCATTTACACTCATACTACACCACATCACCACAACTTCTCACACTGACACAGTGCCTCACACGTACCTGGACCATACACTACTGTCACATTACCTCACTAACTCCAACTGGGACCCCATTGTTCAATGTGATGATGACATAAATTTTTGTTCTAATTATTTTAATAGAATTGTTATTAATTCAGTGAAATCCGCTACTAAAACCATTATTAATAAATCAACTAGAGCTAAAAAACTCAAACCATGGATTTCCATAGAACTGATTAAACAAATAAGAGTGAGAGATAAATTAAGTAAAAGAGTTAAAAAACAACCCTTTAATGTTGAGCTTATCAATTTTTATAAAGAATTTAAACAAAACCTTAGTGAACAACTGAAGCAAACTAAACAAAATTATTACCGGCAAAAATTAAACGAAGCCTCTAATAACCCTAAGCTATTTTGGAGATTAGTCAATGAACTGGCCGGCAGAATAAATAAAAAAGATTCGTTTCCAATAGATAAATTTACATCAAACACTCAGTTATCTACAACATTGTATAAACAAGTCGCAGATGATTTTAATATTTTTTTCTCTAACGTCGGTAGCTCACTGGCCAGTAAACTAGACCCAAGTGGGGCCCTATTGGTTGACGACTGTGACTATCAACTCGACACGACGTTTACGCTTCAACCGATCACTGCACATGACTTACAACGCTACGTCTGCGGCCTGCGGGGTGGTTCCGCGCCTGGTTACGATGGTATATCGGCCGATGTCCTTAAAGCAAACTTTCATATCCTCTGTTTTCCACTTTTACACATTGTTAATTTAAGCATAACTTCAGGAACTTTTCCTGATTGTTACAAATTGGCTAAAGTCTTTCCATTATATAAATCCAACGAAATCACTAATAAAAACAATTTTCGCCCAATCTCATTGTTGAGTATTTTTACTAAGATAATTGAAAAGGCTGTCAAAGATCAGTTGGTTGCTTACCTTCATTCTAATAACATTCTCAGTGAGCATCAGTACGGTTTCCGTCACGACAAAAATATTTCAGATATTCTTTTTGATGTAAACAAAGAGTTGTACGATACCATTTCCAACAAAAAACGTTCTATATTAATATTTCTTGACCTTAAAAAAGCATTTGATTCTGTAGATCGTTTAAAACTTCTCAACAAGTTAAAAACAATTGGAGTTTGCGGCAGTGCTTTGGAATGGTTCAAGAGTTATCTTTCAAACAGAGCTCAAATTGTTACAATTTGTGGTACAGACAGTGATCCTATGCCTGTCGATTATGGGGTGGTCCAGGGTAGTAATTTAGGGCCTATTCTTTTCTTAATATATATTAATAATATATCGAGAATCAATATGTTTGGAAAGTTATTTTTGTTTGCTGACGATACACTAATTTTCCTGGAGGGGAAGTCGTGGCCCGAGGTGCGAGAAAAAGCACAACATGATCTAATGGTTATAAAAAAATGGTTAGACCAAAATATTCTTTCCCTAAACATATCAAAAACAAAATTTATGCCTATTTCTATTAGTAAAACCACAGATTATAATTTACAAAACCTAACAATTCATTCTTGTAGTGATTTCCTTAACTTGTCTTGTAATTGCGAAGCTATTGAAGAGGTAGCTTCATATAAATACTTGGGAGTAATTTTCGACCGTCGGCTGAAGTGGGCTGAACATATTCAAAGTGTAAGGAGTAAGGTCAGGAAATACATGTTTGCCTTTAGACAAATGAATGGAATTCTAACCTTAAAAGAAATTAAAATTGCCTACTTTGCTTACGTCCAATCTTTGCTCTCATTTGGGATTATAGCCTGGGGAGGATGTTTTAAAAGTTTGCTGGAACCTCTAAATATTGCTCATAGGTCACTTTTAAAGATTGGTTTTGGTAAATCTAAACGATTTCCGTCTGACGCCCTATTTAAGGAAACATCAATTCTTACAGTTCGCAAACTATATATCAAATGTTTACTAATTAACATTTTCAAGAATTGCACTAGAATATTTAATGAAACCTCACATTCTCATAACACAAGATACTCATCTCAAGTCCACATTACTACACTTCAGGTATACAACACTTTTTCAACAACAAATTCTTTTTATATATCTCACATAGTGTTTCGAAATCTTTGTAAATACTATTCTGAATTAAATTTATTTGACGCCACATCTATTGTCTCTTTTAAACGTCTTGTTAAAGAATGGCTACTTAATTTAAATACGGACGAAGCTGATCTTATTATTACTTCATCTTACCGGCGCGACGGGATCGGCCCGCGACCTTTGACTTGACCATTGACTTGACTCACTTGATCATTGACTTGACTTTGACCTCGACATTGACGGCACACCCTAGCCGCTCTCTCTCCGACGCTTATATTGATATTTATTGCATGTTCTTTACTATTGCATGTTCTTTTCGTGTAGAGTACTGTCACTTATTACATAACTCAGTCAGTATTACTTAACTGCTGAAATTCATTTAATTTTTCATTTAATTATACTTTTCATTTAATTTTATTTTTCACTCATACAAAATAATAAAACTAAATTGCGCCACTTTAACTTCATAATCTTTATAGCAACTTAGCAGACGCACAGGCACAGCCTATGTCTGCTAATTCCAGAACTAATTAGATAGGAACAACCTTTTACGCATGTATATAGTTAATTAGTTATAGTTAGTTAGTTTAGTTTTGCATAAAGAACTTTTTTCTTTTGTACATTTGGTTGTGTAATTTTTATATATGTGGTGGAATAAATTCATAATTCATTCATTCATTCATTCATTCATTCACATTTCATTGCATGCACATCTTTTATTGCTACTATCTTTAGTATATTTGCAAAAAAAACATTCTCAACATTTCTCGTGGGTTAGGTGGTTCATTGCTAAAAATGGGAACAGATTACCTTTTTGCGCTCCCAACCCCACATTTTTGAGGGTAGTTGGTAGTTGGTTTTCAAAACAGAGTTGTCCTTGATGAAATGATACAAATGATGAAATGTCATATACAGTATTTCTAAATTGACAGCAATGTTTTAAAATCACCCACTCTTCCCTGAAACTCAAGACATTATGTCAATAGCATCTGGGGTTGTAGGAGATGAATCCGTTAACTGTTACGATGCTCTATTACGTGGTCATCAAGTAATTAAATGGTAATCATTTTCGGACAACAAGCTGTCATGGGAAAATATGGCTCTCCCTTTGTCTTCTGTGAGTTCAACCATTGATATTGCAATGATTAAAACGTTGTAGCAAAACCTTTTATTCTGTTTCAAAGGATTTGTAAGTAAAAAAAGTTATCAAGATTTAAAGGATTGTTACAATTTGAACTTGCTCCATTTCCCTTTATTTATTGAGAGTAGTATGATAAAGACCAAAAAGGCTGCTCTGTTCAATACCATAGCAATCAAAAAACTGCACGAATATGGCAGACCAAGAAAGACGCTACAGATTGAAAAAGTCAGTAGCAGTGGCGGTCCCAGCATTTAATTTGGAAGTTAAAGCATAATAACGTATAGTTTGATAGTATTTCAGCTCTAAAATATCTTCAAGCTACTAGTATTTATGTTAGGTAATAAAATATTTTGGAGAGGATACACCCCCCCCCCTTCACACCAGGGACCGCCACTGGTCAGTAAGTATTCATTCGAACAGCGACACCGAAATTATAGTAACCAGGAACAGTTAATCTCTTAACCAAGTTTTTTGCAAATGTACTAAAGATTATAACAGTGTCACATGCGAAATTTGTGCATGCAAGAAAATGTCCAATTGTTCCCCGTTATGCCAGAAGGGAACTTTTTACATGGAATGTCCATTCTGATGAATGAGGAAGATGAAGAATATATAGGCCTACACCGCATTATCACTTCGATAGCCAATATTGAGCCTAATCAACAAGAATTGAATGATGGAGATGTCCTAGATGGTGGTTCTCAGTTCCAGTTCCAGATGGCACCTGTTTTTGGGACAGAAGTCGGACCCTCTCGTCCCAAGTGAGTCAGATCACGAACAATAGTATTAAAAGTCTTGGTTTCGGTAGTTGTTATATATAAACCTGGACAAATGTAGCTGCAAACATAATCTTTTTCACTTTTAGTGTAATAAAATTATGCCAAAATTACTTGTTTCCATGACAAATATACAAAACTTAATTAAATTTATATAAACTACTTTTAACACAATATATACGATGGATATATTATATTATATAGGTTTGTGCTCCAAAATCTGTTTTCTATCCTTACTAATGTAAAACAACAGCAGGCTGATCGATTATTTGAACTTATTAAAAAAAAAACGTCTGAAAAATCAATTTAGAAAATAAGTTTTATCTTATTTTGAGAATATCTTTAAAACTAATGCATATACATAAGAAATGAATATAACCATTCTTGTAGAGAATTTTATCATCTTTCTTTTTATAATTTACATTTTTTCCGTACGATGCACGGTTTTCAGATTGGAAGTAAAAAACTAAAAAATGGGGTCTTTCCCCCCCCTCCCCCCGCTGAAGCAGCAGGGCCAGGGGCGGGGACTTTTGGTATTTTTACCTTCTAACTACCCTGAACACATTCCCGCAGAAAAAAAATTTCCCCCTCTCCATGTCCTCTACACCCCTCTTTTGGGCCTTCATTGACTGGACTAAAATGTCTGAACTAAGTATTGTGTTTTTATTGTGGTTTGGGGATAGAGGTTTTCTAGTGATAAAGCGTAGCACATTGGTCCCCGAAGTCTTGGGATTAAATCCAGCCAATTACCAATCGATAGTATCTACGTTAATATTTAATACCTCTTTAATACCTTGACTCACTTAACCTAGTCTGAAGGAGATGAAAACTGCCCTGGGCTAGAGCGTAGCGTCCTAGGATGTGAAAATGCTGCATAAAAGCTAATGTTAACGAAAATAAGTTAAAACGCATTTGTTTTGTTCTCAGCTTGGGTCCTTGGATGGTGGATGTGCAAGACAGTGCCATACGTACAGGGTGTGTCAGTTGCTGCTTCAGTCTACAGTCTCATCGCAGTCTCCGTTGACAGGTATTATTATTATTCATGTTATCACTTATTCTAGTACTAGCAACAGTGCCCGTTGTGGTTAAATACAACGGTCTCTAGTAAAATAATGGTTATGAAATCCATACACTACTTTACTCACTAATATTAATTGTACAGTTTAAGCACATAACTTTAGAATCACACACTTAATATAAGGAACACACTAAAAACACAAATGCAGATTGTTAACAACAATATTTAATCAAAGAAAAATTTATTAGATAACAATATAACAATTAGCTGTTGTATTATTAACACATGTTTCGTATGATTGGATTATGCATACCGGTAAACCAATTATTGCCATATATAAATATAATTGGTTTTTCTTTTCCGAGTCGGGCTAGATCTTCTACCCGTCAAATTTTCATATTTTTGGTCTTAAAATAAAGCTATGCAAGCACATATTTGTCATCAAGCATCATTATTAATTTATCTAATGACGAAAGAATTTTTTTTTACTTCAATTAAAGATGTATTCCAGCAGTTCTAATTGCATTATACATTTTGGTCTAAAAACCTTAAGTGAAATACCAGCTTTCATTTGAGCTATCGATTATAAAGATTGGACTACCTAAAGCACACTGCTGAATCACAAATTAACAATAATAACAATCGTTTTAGTACCTATCTGCAATCAATGATACGTAACTCTATTTTTATTTAAGTTATTTTATATGTCTTGGTATTAAAATACTACAAATGCTTTCACTTGAGATATTGATAGTTTTAATCAGTTAAATCCAAGATACTGTATCGCTCAATCAGAAAATACAAATTTGATTATATCTTGGATATGGAATTTATTTTTAGATATATTTACTTAATTCTAATTACGGTATTCTATTGTTTTGACTTAAGAACCTTCATTAAAATACCAGCTTCCATTTCATTAAAGCACACAGCTAAATCACGACCAACACAAATTGTTCAAAAAATGGAGTGATTTATAATGGATTTATAGCCAAACGATCTTGCTTGCAACCTCAACAGTACTTTCATAATTATTTGAAAATTTTCACAAATTAGGCTATCCAATGACCTAAATTAATAAAATCGGTTCAGTAGAACTGTACAAAGATTTAATTTGATTAATTGTACAAAGTTTAACAACAACATCTTTAATTCAGTATTTTCTCACTACTATAAATTTGGAGGTTGCTTAACGTTTTTGCAAATAACTTTGAAATGGCGAGGAAATCAACCAAAGTGGAAGGTGATATTCTGAAAGAGAATAAAATTTCCTACAAATTACTTATGTATTTCTTGAAAATACTCAATAAAAGAAGCCTAAAGTTGGCTATAAATATAAAATTGGAAATATATACTTGGAAAAAAGGAGTTTTAAATGTATTATTTTTTATTTTTTTTTTCACCTCGAATATCTAATAAAATCAAACTTTCATAATTTTTGCAAATCTACACAAATTAGGCTTTCCAACGACCCATTAAGTAACAAAATCGGTCCGGTAGAAGTCTAGATTTAGTTGTACAAAGTTTAACTAAAATATATCTAATTCAGTATTTTCTCGCCACCATAAATTTGGAGATCACTTAGTTTATTGCCAATATCTTTTAAATGGAGGGGAAATTGACCAATGTGAATGTGATATTCTGAAAGAGAATACAATTTACTACAAATAACTACTATGCATTCCTTGAATCCATCAGAAATGCAAAAATTAATATATTTTTAAGGTTTAATATATTATATAAGATAATATATTTATCTTAATAAAGGCAGCCAAAAGCTGGCTACAAATAGAATCTTGAAAACAGAAATTTGAAATAAGCAGTTTTAAATGTATTTTTGTTATTTTTACTTTTTCCCCACAAATATTTAATAAAATCACAATTTTATAATTATTTGCAAATCTACATGAGTTAGGCTTTCTAATAACCCATTAGTTAACAAAATCGGTCCAGTAGAAGTCTAGATTTAGTTGTACAAAGTTTAACAAAAACATCCCAAGCTCAATATTTTCTCATTACTATAAATTCGGAGGTTGCTTAGCTTTTTTGCAAATAACTTTTAAATGGTGAGGAAATCGACCAAAGTGAAAGGTGATATTCTGAAAAAGGATAAGATTTCCTACAAATTGATACCATGCAATTCTTGGAAATATTCAAAAATGGCAGCTAAAAGTCGCACCCAAATAAAAAGTGTGAAAAACACCGTTTTCAATTTATTTCTTATAGAAAACACTTTTTTTTAATTTTTCACCATAAATCATAACAAAAACAATCTTTCATAATTATTTGCAAATCTACACGACTTAAGCTTTCCTACGACCCATTAATTAATAAAATCGGTCCAGTAGAACTCTAGATTTAGTTGTACAAAGATTATTAAAACTGAATTATATATAGAATAGATACTTATTAATTAATTCAGTTAGTTCTAGATTTTTCGATGACTCATAACTTAAAGTTACCGTTATTTCGTTAGGTAAATTTGTGATAGTGTGATAATTTTACATAATTATGCATTTTCAAGCATTTTAGGTAAAATGTGTGGTATAGTTTTGTTTCAAAAATCGTACATTATCCAATTAGATTTTAGTTATGTGTATAGTTTATTGTGTTTACGAGAAGAGTTAAATTTCAGAGGTCCATAAGCTTAGATTTAAAAACATACTCCTTGCAGTTTAAGCTATTTAAAATCGGGCAAACACTGATCATCTATAAATGAAATCCAACTTTCGGTTCAAATTGGCAGGTATTTACGCAAATTTTTACTTGGCGTGATCGGCCGGTTATAAGAGATTCCGAATGGTTATTTTTATTATCAATTTATTTGCCTTACACAGTATGTAATCCCTTAATAAGTTCTTACAGAATAAACACCGTAAAATCAATTTTTCGCTTAGGAAACACCAAGTTGAGAAATGTGCCTTGTAATGCTCATAGCCTGCATTGTCCCATCAGCTGGAAAAGTTCCAGATCGCAGACAACTAACCCGGCTGCCAATGTTAACGCCTCGGTTGAAATATGACTATTGCCGTTCAATTCTGTGTATTGGTGCAATGGAATACGTCGCAATGGCATAGACCTTGAATTGTGTGTTATGTTAATGGCATTGAACCAACTCATTTGCTTCAGCCCAAAAATATAATTTTGTTATTGCTACATTCCTGGTCTTCCAGTTACAATAGTGTCAACTTGGTCCTTACACTATTTTCAATAACAGACGTTTCGGCAATGCTAAGATATGAGACAGTTTCAAAGCTGAGACATGCCACTTCATCTTAGCATGAGCAAAACGTCTGGTATTGAAAATAGTGTAAGTACCAAGTTGACGGGGCTCTTACCATAAGGTCCAGAATGTCTTTGTGACAATGTCCACTTAAAGCCTCCGAAAAACAATTAATTGAGTCGTTATTAACTATTGATGCTTCTGAGAGTTTATTAATTGTGTGATGTTACAGGTTTCTCGCGATCTGGTGGCCAATGAAGTGTCAAATCACCACCCGACGTGCCAGAATCATGATCCTCGTCATCTGGTTGATTGCGGTCACCACCACCATTCCTTGGGCATTATTCTTCGACCTCGTCGTCATCTTCGGCGATCGCCCCGACATCCAACTGTGTATAGAAGTTTGGCCCGACTACTTGGACGGATCTCTGTACTTCCTCGTCTGCAATCTACTCTTCTGCTACATCCTGCCACTGATCCTCATCTCCATGTGTTACATCTTGATCTGGGTGCGTGTGTGCAAGCGGCACATCCCGAGCGACACCAAGGACGCCCAGATGGAGCGGATGCAGCAGAAGTCCAAGGTGAAGGTGGTTAAGATGCTGGTCGCAGTCGTCATCTTGTTCGTACTCTCCTGGCTCCCGTTGTACGTAATCTTCGCAAGGATCAAGCTCGGAGGTGAGATCACCGCCTGGGAGGAGGACGCACTGATTGTCATCACCCCCGTCGCCCAGTGGCTGGGGGCTTCTAACTCGTGCATCAACCCAATCTTGTACGCCTTCTTCAACAACAAGTATCGCAGGGGATTCACAGCGATACTCAAGAGTCGACGATGCTGCAGCACACTGCGTTACTACGACGCTGTAGCCATGGCCAACTCGTCCTCAGCCAGTATGAGGAAGTCTTCTTACTACGTCACCAACAACAACTCGTCGACTCGTCGAGCGCCACCGGTCCACCAGGACAGCAACGTGTCCTACATATCAAACAACACGGGCGTCTAAACACCCCGGGGGACACCACGCCGTGGCTGGATTTACTTAGTTCTGCTGAGGCAGTCTACACCGGAGTCGTCTCCGGAGTCTTGGAGGTTGGTCGGAAGGTAGTCAGATGTAGACGGCTCGACATTTAGACACGTGCCTCGGCACGTTCGTCGAGCCCGATGTCGAAACGACGCTTGTTAAGAACTTGTTAATATAGTGAGCATATTTTTACTAAACCTTATTTACATTTTGATGTTAGGCGTACTCGCTGTTGAACTTGTGGTCGCTATGTTTCTGTGGCTTCTATCATTTCCGATTGTTTCGTGCGTTTTGAATGTTCGGTCAAGTATTTACCGCACATACGTATGTGTAAGTGATATCCGTATTTCCTCACTTACTCCTCACGAAACATAGATTATATATTTATATGATTAGTATATTCACTACGGAGAACATCGGGATATATCGAATACGCGTCATCGCGAGGTTTCGTAAGGTTTCGATAGTTTCACTATACCCTTCATATCGCGTATTTTTCTATCTTTCGGTTGATCCTTCCGAAGCTGACTCAGCACTAATACGATATATAAATAAATAATGTTATTTTTTAAAAATTTTGTGGACATTGCGACTTGGTAATACACAGCTTTAAACTGTTAGAGGCCCGGAGTAGTGGCGGGTCCACGACGAAGCAGGGCTTTTGTCACGTTTTGATACATTTTTAGACGCATTGACACTAAACTTAACCTAGTAGATAAGTGTAAGTATGTTTTCAGCCCTCGTTCAGTTACACCCGACACGTTTGGCTGTGACAGATCAGTTGCGGTTTGATGTCTTCGAATCTGTCCGTTGTAATCGTCACAAGGTTTTGCAATTGTTTTTACAGAATACGTTTATGTGGAACATGTCCCTTAGAGTTTGTACGTCCAAGCGTAAACCCCTGTGTAAAACTCTGATTTGCTTCACACCGTTGAAACGCTGTATTACCGTGCTTGTGCATAAACGTGTATTTGGTAAATTTGGTTTTAGTAATGTAATCAATAAATATTTAGACGTAAACACCGTGTACCGTGATATGTGCTCAGCCCAGGATAGCTTGAATCCTGAATTTGAATGCTTCATAACTTGTACTACTGAATGAAAGGCATGTGATTTCTCGAAGAGGCCTGTAGATTGAATATATTTTTTGTAAGGACAGCTTCTCATGAGAGGTATAATGATAATGTAAATTACCTGTACAGTGTTAGACTATATATTAAACAAATGTTTCTTGCCTAAGGTCATTAAAATTTAAATTTTTCCATTTCTAGCCGTTGGTAGTGGCTAAACCTTAAATGAGAACGGCTGGGTTATATGGCGTAGGTGAATACAGAAGTCCGATACTACTAAATTCTCATTTGGTGAGGATTTGATCCCGATTACATACATGTATAAACTCCAAATATATGAAGAATAAATTAAATTACCCATTTTATCCAGGTGATAGAAAAAAACGTGTTCAATTAAATATATAATTAAATCAAGTGGTTACCATAAGGGTTTTACCAAATAAATCGCAGCACGCATAAATAAAATACGGTAACCTACAATATTTTACAATGACAAAACTACCTAACAACTTTAAGGTTAATGAACCTCATGGAATAAATTTCAACAAATCCATCGGATAACTCTCAATGTAAGTAATTTACAATAAACTTATTGCAGAATTTATGATTTTTAACTAGAACTAAACCTTGGTTTTAAAACTAAAGTTTCGTATAACTTCTCCCTTATCCTCAGGAGTCAATTTATTGAGTGAAGATTAAAAATATAAACAGTTTACCAACACTATTATTTACACATGAATCTTAACCAAAATATTCAATCAAAATTCAACAAACTATGTCATCGATAAACTTGGAATTCTTTTAAAATGTTTTCCACCATCGACTATCGTCTCGTGGCAGATAATTTATTCCTTTTGAACGCAACAGTTGGCTAGCCCCCAATTTCAATAAGTTAGATTAAATTCAACCAACCAAATTGAGAATCCAATTCGTTGTAACGATGCAGATTAGTAATAAAGTTGACTTTTGTAACATAACCAGCCTTTCTCCAGATTTTTACTATCTAAGGTATTTTGTATCGAGTGCTAACCTTTAAATGGTTGGTCAGAAGTAAGTTAGAATTTCTTTATCTATGGAGCGAAAAAATGGAAATACGAGTTCTGAACATCGTTTTACATTAACTATCTCAATATTTGAACCAATATAAGGAGGAGGCTGGGGCGAGACAGAAGTGGCAACACCGCAGCTCCGGCTGTTGTACTAATTTGTAATGGAGCGCCATAAGCGTAATGTTTGCGTTTGCATGTTTGTCATTACTGTTATGACCATGGTATAGGCCAGTGACGCGAAGTCCCCACAAACCAACGCCGCAGCCTTGTATTAGAGTAGTCTATGGTACCAGTCAAAAATCGTCACTTAACTAATTTGACAGAGTATTGAATTTGAAATATATAAACAAATAAATACAGGCAATACCTGTGGGTTGAACTTTGAGAAAAGCTTGGGGCAAGATTTAAAAAATATAAAGGTGATGCTTGTTATAAGTTATGTCAATAGAAACGTTTTACTATGAAACTCGTGTAGCAAACGTTTTGTACATTTGTAAATAGTAGATAAAATGAATGTATTAAGTGTATCATTTAGTGTAAGCCCTACCAACGGAACACAGGGTAAACATGTCATGTGTAATTATGAGCACAGCTTAGTGGTTTAGAGGTCAAATTCGAAAGCTTCATTACCTGTAGTTTGTAGACTTAGCGAAATATTAACTCGCCACATTTACCGTCTCCATCCCAGCTGTTTCCTGTCTACTTCCTATCTTCTTGTGTTTCCTGTGTATTACTTTGTCTCCTCCTCCGCTGGCTCCTCGTTCTATAACAGTTCCAATACCATTGTGTAGAAAAGTAACGTTACAAGTTATTGTTACACAATATTGCGCTTGATTAGCTATGCAAGATTCTGTAACAACGAAAAGTCGCTGTTATGAGATGTCATGACGATGCGAGTCTTATTTTAACGCAGATCTTTATCACTGATTAATAGAAACGCAAAATAGCACGTCATAAGATATTTGAAATAATGAATTTATGGAGTCAAGATAATCTGTTATATTACATATTAAATTTACAATAACAAGTTTCAAAATGTAAGAAAAAAACATATTTTTACATTTTATTATATAAGATATAATTTTTAATATCCAACTGACACTGTCTGAGAGTTTTTCACATAAAAAACGTCTATGGAAAACTATCAAGCAAGTAAACTCATAGGTTTTACATTGAAGTTGACCAAAAAAGTGATAAAGATCTTAAAAACGTAGTATGACATAGAACTACAAGTAAAACCAGAATAGCAGCAGTTAACACCACAGTTTAGAAATGATTGCTTATGTCCCCAAATACTTAACCTAGCTTCTTGTAGAATGGAAAATGTTTTAGTACCTGTTGGATGTTATCGTTGTATATAACCCCAGTTATGGACTATTCATTTCAAAGTAGCAAGAACATTGTTGTCATATGACGTAATCTGCTAAAATCATCATTACTGTGATATGATATTGTTTTAATATAGGCTGAATGTAACCTGTGTATTAAGTTAATGATTATTGAAATCTATATTAAATATCTCATACATGCTGTTACTCGTTCAATGGCAAGTGTTGGGTATGTTTTATATGTAATACACAATAATTTTCGAATAAATATTTACAGCGAAGAGTGTTGGTTTAGTTTCAAGATTTTTGGAAAGCAGGATTTTTGAGATGGTGGATTGCAGTAATAAAGCCAGAGGTTTAATACTGTTTAGCATGCACTCCTAAGGAATCAATATGGATTGCTGCATTGTTAAAATATGTCTCCGATGAATAGTTTAATGATTAAATTGTCTTTACTAAATGTCCATTTATTCTAAAGAAAGCTGTAATACTCTTATAAAAAGGGAGGTTTAAGTAGCAGAGAAGCTCCAGTTTGTAAGGTAAAACTAATAAAAACAAATATTTACGCACAATGATTTAAATAACATTTGTTTGTGAATAATGATGTTCCCGTTAATTCTAACACCAATATACAACAGTTTTGGTCTGATTAAACGGTAAAATAACATTCCAATGCGGTGGGTTACCGAGCAGTTGTTCTACTTTATTAGTAGCATAAAAGCAATCAGAAAATTAAAAAGTAAACTACTATACCAATCCAGGAATAAAGTAGTTACTTATATTTCGAAGTTGATGTAAAACACGTTTACTTTTCCTCTTCAGGTAATGGTATATTATTATAGACTGATACGACCAAAATAATGATTGATGATCAGTTATTGATTAGAAAATTTTCATATAATTTTAGTAAACCTCAAATTCTTATGTATAAGATTATAGGGTAAGAATTACATAATATATAGTTATATGTATATTTAAACACCTGAACTACGTTTGGTATAGTCAAATTTTTCTTGCAAAATTCTTTCGGTATTTATGTGTGATACGTTGTTTTGATGTATGGTATTAAGCCATAGTACCAGAAAATTATTTATAAACATTAACGAAGCAAGAGTACTAAAAAAAGATTGAATTACAAATAAATCAGTGGTGGAGTTACTAAATTTTAAACATTATTTTTAATTTAGTTAAACTTGGTATATCTCTTTTAATTGCCACGCTGTATAATTTAGTTTAATATTCCAACTATCAACTAACTACTATTTATCTTACTTTATTACTTTAGGTGCATGATTCCAAATTTTAATAGATAAAATTTGCCAAAACACTCGATGTTAACAACATTCATTCAATTCTAATGCAAAATAAAATATGAATGCAGAAAACAAAAATTTAAATAACATTTGCAGAATGTATATTTTCACTATGATAAGGAATGCATGCTTAAAGATTAGTGTACTATATACAAAATTAATAAATAATGTTTGTATGATGGAAAAACATTTCAAACTTTGTGTTTTGTCAAAACTTCCAAGATTCATGAATTATGAAAGTTTAGTAATTTCACATAGTTTCATTAGCTTATACAAAATTTTGTATTCTCTTTATTAGGTGGATACTATATTTGGTTAAATTACTGTTTTAATTTCTTAGTATTTTCTATTACATGATAATTATCATATAAACAACATAAATTATTGTTCTGGTTCTGGTGGTTTTTTGTAATATTGTTCTGGTTTGTCTGGTTTCATGTTAAGAATCGATACGTTTGTTGTAGCACTTGTTAAGAAATGTTGAAAAGGCAAATCCCCCCACGCCAGCAAACCAGCGGACTAAGCAAATTTTAATTTGCCAGATGGGTTTATCAATTAAATCTGTTAGGTTGAACAAAATCCTAGGTTTTCTGCTACAGGGAGAGTAGTAATGTATGTTTGTATTAAAAATATTACAGTATTAGCTCAGTATAAAATAAATAAATTTGCAAAATATGATACAAATATACCCATAAACAAGCAAACTACAATAGTTTGTTACTATCCAAAGAAATATATAACTTAAGAATTTAAAATAATATACAGATTTGTAATTTTCTTCGTAGTCAGTTGCCGTAAGAACACTTAAATATACTACATTATTTGTTTTTAAGCCCTAAAAGATTATTTCAAGAGAAATCAGGATTGTTTTGGGTCAAAAAATGAGAAACCCCAATTTTTACCCTTATAAATCCCCGTTCCCTTGGTCTGGTTCGCGAACTCATTCAAGTTTACCACTTCCTCCACATTCAAGCCAAATTTCGTAAAAAGTGGGCAAAATTTGCCAAACCTTCATGTATAGGAATTTGAACTAATAGTGTTTTTGGCCAATAAGGACTTAAAAGTAAAAAGTATATCGGTCTCGTGTCTCGGTCTTACTGTGCAACCTACGGTGATAGCTACTTATTATTATTTTGGGAACTAAAACTTTATTTATAAAACTTTAAGTAAAAAAATAAACTTTTAACACAATGAATAATTGTCTGTTAGTAACATACAATAATTTAATCAAATATGATGCTAATTTTGTAATTGCATTTCTAATTTTGCGCAATAATATGACTAATTAAACTGTGCATTAATGATATGATTTTAAAATCATATAGGTATAAATGTAAATAAAAATTTATATAAATATTTTATAGTAAGAAAGCTAAAAAATAAATAAACATTATAAAACTTCATCATTAGTTTATTACACTACGGTAAGGAACTCAAAGTGTACTAAATTCACACTTATACATGTATAAACACATCCCACTATGCAATTAAACTAAATATGTCGAGTATAGTAGAAAAATAGGAAATAATCTTACAACAGTTTTTAAATTCCTTGAAAATGACTCATTAAAATAGTTATAGTACTTATTGTAAAACAAAACTTCTGTGAAATAATAATCGTGTAAATAATAAAACGAAACCTAATATTACTGCTCTATTTTAAAAAAGCAGCCTATATTGTATCAACATTCTTGTTTATTAGATGCTATTAATTGTTGTAAAATGTAAAAATGTTAATATTAATGATAAGTTAACTACAAGACTGTAAGTAGCGCACGAGGTGTTGATTCGACCAGAAGGATTTCCTGCTCAATGTTTGGGATTGTTAAACTCTTAGTTACTTTCGAAATTGGTCTGATGGTAATTTTTGGGCAATAAAGTTGTATTAATATTAGAGCGTTGTTTTATTTTCCTTTGGTAAAATGCATGTCATTAAGGCTTTACAACCCTAAAAGTTGTATTGAGGGAGGGGCCCACTAATAAAGTTAATAATATGTTTCATTTAAATCTAAGGCTTACCTTACGATCCAATTTATATAAATTGGATCGTAAGGTAAGCCTTGGATTTAATTATGTTCAATAACGATCCAGAGGCTATCTTCAAATGTTTTATTTCCATAATGAGGAATATGAAGCTATAATCTATTGTTCCATATTTTAGTATTAGCCCTAACTAGCACACAACGTAATACTGAAAGCTATATTCCCGAATCTGGTAAACTAACTTTGCACCGATTCTGATATAGGCCTACTATAAACTATCCCCACTCAATAAAGTACTGTTTTAGTAAGGAACAACAATTTAAGAAAAACTGTAGATGAGATACTTAAAAGCCTTTGCTAACAGGTAGCAAAGGAGTAATAATTAACTATTTTCTTTGGATCTATCCAACGGATTTTAACTTTTTCACCACCCAGAAATTAAAGGTAAATTATTAATTGATTATTAATTGGTGCAAGTCAATTATGTCAATAGTATTATTTTGCAGGATTGTTGACAAACACTAAAATCCATGTGTTGCGGTAAATGTACGAGAAAACACTTTGATGTGTTTTTTACCATTTCTTATATTCATAAGATCACATTTTTGAAATTCTATAAATCAGTACGCAACAAAACGATTAAGATAATCAAAGAATAAAACAACAAAAGTAGAACACTGTTAAATGCTCTTAAAATTTCCCCGTTGGTCTGTACACAAATTTCCCCCTCTAGTACCTTGTGTACTGTATGTAACTAAAAACATGTTATTGTGTATTATTAATTTTTGTAAAAAGTTATTTTTAAATTTAATACATTGTTTGTTTACCTAACAGTGAGTTGTTTCATTTATCGTCATTTTAATTTCAAATATTTCAAAGAGCATCATTCAATCGCATATCAAACAAGGACTATTAAAATAAACTATAAATACTTCATTTGCAGTATTCACATAAATCAGAATATTTATCATAAACTTTCCACATGATAACATGAGATAAGTTGAGTGCGGTATAGGGTTTTAAACAAAATTATGGTCAAACACATAAAAAAAAGGTAGAAAAGTTTGAGGTGACATAATTTTTTAGTCGATCTATGCATCTGTCTAAATAGACTTACTATTTTAAATTATACATGGTGGCTGAAAAGTAACTTGCACCCCCCTCAACCTTTTAACCTTTTGAGATATTTGAAATCGGTTTGCGGCAACCATCTCAGAAATGAGAGGCTATAATAATTATGGTTTATTTTGAAAATTTCGCCCTTAGACACCTAAGGGCAAAATTAATTTTGAGCGACTCCCTACCACTACTACCCAGTATCAAACGGCAAAATTTCAAATCAGTGCTCCAAATTTTCAAACGGCAAGTATAGTTTAGTTTGGTATCATTTGACAGGTATTGCCTAAACTAAACAATTATCATCAAGAAAATAGAAGTCGGACCACTTATAACAAAATTGGAATTAAAAACTACTTTTAATAACCATTGTCTTAATAATTGTTAGCTATCATTTTGTTATTAGTTGTCCGATTTATATTTTTTATGTTAATTGTTTAGTTTTGTCAAGACCTGTAAAATGATACCAAACTCGACTATACTTAACTTTTAAAAATTTTGAGCTACCCACTACCCCCGCTACCCCTAAGGGCAACATTTTCAAAATTAGCCATCATTATTTCAAAGTTCATCCCTCATAACTATTAAGGTTGCCGCAAACCGATTTGAAATATCACAAATAGTTGAAACGTTAAGAGGGGGTGTAAGTTACTTTTCAGCCACCATGTATATTCCCTTTTAAATATGTGGTGACAATCTAAACTGTTTTTACTTAAACAGTACTACTTTTGTAAATAATATATTTGATGAAAAATCTTTTGTACCTCGACTGCTTTCACTATCTAACTAGGTGAAAATAATAATATAAATATGTCTCGTTCCGTACTTGTCTCTAAAACTATTGGTAATTAAACATTTAAACTTGGTGTGAATCCCAAACATTATCACAGCTTACTTAATTATCGATTCGTCTTCAATTTAGACAAAAATACAACATTTATCTTAAAAAGTATACATATGTAATATTTTTGGAAGCATTTTATACTTCCGTATTTGGAAACCATTAAAAAATAATACGCGTTAATTATAAGATTTCCAAACTTCTACGCCATAAATAATACAAATTATACATTTACATCAAATAATAAAAACTCAAAAAGTTGAATTTGCTTTAAGATATAAGAGGTGACATTTCTCCCTAAATATTGATCTACATATTCCCAATACATTGTAGTGGAAATAATCACAATAATCTTTTGCAGTTAAAAAAATATATATCAATTACTTTCAATTATTTAAATACTTGACTCACATGCCAGTCTGAATGGGAAGTTAAAAACCAATCAAAATAAACAAGAATAGAGCCGGGGCGAGTTAGTGCGTTTATCCACGATCAATAAAGCAACAGAACGGTTCCGCACAGCTGACGTTCCTGGGGGGGGGGGGGGGGGGGGAGAAGGGGGGCATCGTCAGTCAATCGTTTTCAATTTGTTTCCAATATGACTTATGCGGTGGTATAACGGCCATTATTAAAATATTTACATACGATTATGTATGATAATTCCACAATGTGGAAGCAATACTAGTATTACTTTATTACCTGATAAAACATATACTAATAAATGAATATTGTAGATTAAAAGCAAGATTGGTTATTGATTAATTCATTCCGAGGTTGGACCCAAAACAAATTTCAAATAAACTGCAGGTTTTAAACAATAAGTTAAACTTCTCTGCTGTACATAAAGGTTAATTATGTCAGTTGGGCATTTCTCATATCCACATTTTTACATCGGA